TAACTTACAAAAATTAATTGGATTCCTCTACACCAACAAAGAGAACTTCCAAGATGAAATTACCAAATCAATACCATTTAAAATACCCACAAGAAGGTAAAATACTTAGGAATAAATCTAACAAAAGACGAAAAAGATCTATACAAAGAAAACTAGAAGACATTACTGCAAGAAACCAAAAGAGACATGCATAAGTGGAAAAACACACCTTGCTCATGGATAGGAAGATTCAACATTCTGAAAATGTCCATTCTACCCAAAGTGACCTACAGATACAATGCAATCTCGATCTAAATCTTAACGGCATTTTTTAATGAGATGGAGAAACAAATTACTGACTTCATATGGAAAGAGGCCCCAGATAAGTAAAGCATTACTGAAGAAGAAGAACAAAGTAGGGGGCCTCACACTACTGATTTGAGAAACTATTATACCACCATGGTAGTTAAAACAGCCTAGTACTTGTACAACAACAGATACATAGACCAGTGGAACAGAATTGAGTCTCCAGACACGAATTCATCCACGTATAAGCAGCTGATATTTTATAAAGGCCCAAAATCTGTTGATTGGGGAAAAGATACTCTCTTTAACAAATAGTGCTGGCATAACTGGATATCCATCTGCAAAAAAATGAAAAAAGATCCATATCACACACCATGCACAAAAACTAACTCAAAATAGATCAAAGACCTAAATATAAAATTGATAATGATAAAGAACATGGAAAAAAGAACAGGGACTATGCTAGGAGCCCTAATACATGGCATAAACAGAATACAAAACATAAGTAAAAATGCACAAACACCAGAAGAGAAACCAGATAACTGGGAGCTCCTGAAAATCAAACATTTATGCTTATCAAAAGACTTTGCCAAAAAGTGAAAAGGGAACCCACAGAGTGGGAAAAATCTGATCAGCATCTAATCTCTAAAATCTACGAGATACTGGAAAACCTCAAAAACAAAAGGACAAACAATCCAATTAAAAAATGGGCAAAGGTTATGAACAGGCAGTTCACCAAAGAAGACATTCAGGCGGCTAACAGACACATGAAGAAATGCTCACGATCATTAGCCATTAGAAAAATGCAAATCAAAACTACAATGAGATACCATCTCTCCTCAATGAGGCTAGCTTTAATCTAAAAATCACCAAATAATAAATGTTGGAGAGGTTGTGGAGAGACTGGAACACTTACACACTGTTGATGGGAAAGGAAAATGGTACAACCACTTTGGAAACTGATTTGACACTTCCTTACAAAGCTAGAAATAGAAGTACCATACGATCCACCAATCCCACTCCTTGGAATATAGCCTGGAGAAATAAGAGCAGTCACACAAATAGATATATGCACACCCATGTTCATTGCAGCACTGTTCACAGTAGCAAAAAGATGGAAAACAACCTAGGTGCCCATCAACGGATGAATGGATAAACAAATTACGGTATATTCACACTATGGTATACTACGCAACAATAAAGAACAATGATGAATCCGTGAAACATAACTTGGAGGAATCTGGTGGGAATTATGCTGAGTGAATTTAGTCAGTCACATGGCAAATATTGTATAAGACCACTATTATAAGAACTCAAGAAAAGGTTTAAACACAAAAGAAAACATTCTTTGATGGTTACGAGGGTGGGCATAGAGACAGGGTTATTCACTAACTAGATAATAGACAAGAATTATCTTTGATGAAGGGGAGGACAGCACACACTACAGGGGAAGTCAGCACAGCTGGACTAAACTAAAGCTAAGAAGTTCCCTGAATACAATCAAACACTTCGAGGGACAGAGTAGCAGGGGCAGGGATCTGGGGACCATGCTTTCAGGGACATCTAGGTCAATTGGTATAACAAAGTTTATTAATAAAATGTTCTGCCTCTTATGCACTGCTGGTGGGAATGCAAAATGATACAACCATTTTGGAAAATGATATGGGGCTTCCTCAGAAAGCTAGAAATAGATACCATTCAATCCAGCAATCCCACTCCTAGGAATACATCCTAGAGAAATAAGAGTCGTCACTTGAATAGACATATGCACACCTATGTTCATGGCAGCATTGTTCACAATAGCAAAAC